CAAAACGCCACTGTCTACATTGTCGTTTTGTAAAGCGTGTACCCCTCAATATTATCGTAGACTTGAAAACGCTCTCATTACCTATAACTTCAACTTAATAATAACGCTGCAGCATCTCAAATAGCTGTCCAATTATTCTCAATATAATATTATATCATTGGCAATTATTTATTATTACTTTAATATTATAATATATTATAGGTCCAGAACGCTATTGTATTTATTTTTCAATCGTTATTTACGTATTTTATTGATTGTTTGTCCAAACAAGACTATACTTAGGTATTTAATTTCAGAGTTCATCTTTGGGCCGAGTTCTGAATATTTTAATTCATAATTTCTTATCATTCTTTCATTATAATCCATATGCTACGATTAATTTATGTTTTTTTTTTTTTTTTTTGAATTATAAATATTATTATAATTATTATTATATATATTTTATTCTACCAGAAACTACAGTAACACTATACACAATACACATAAACACATTAAACCATTTACCCACTTATACCCACCATGGCACCATGCACTGCACTCGCTGGTATAAGCAACCCTGGCCACTACCTTTTAAATACTAGTAAATATATATATTGTGAAGAATCTTGGACAGGTTTGAATGGAAGTCAATGAATAGTGGATCCGGTTGGAAGTTGGTGTTATAGTGGTTGGTGACATAGAAATAGGATTTTAGTAACCATGTGGATGTTGAATAAAATTAGAGAAATAATAATAATTGTAATAATATAGTTATAGTAGTTATAATTATAGTTATAGTTATAGATATAGATATAATTATAGTTATAGATATAGTATTAGGAGTTAGGACGTTGTTGAATTTAAATAAGTATAAAGCTATCAGCCTTTAAATAATTTAAAATTACTGTTATTATCAATAAGTTTTATTAACTATTCTCAGCCCCGTCACATGGTCGTTATAAATTCAGGGAGTAAAACGATTAACCCTCCTTCAATTATACCCATTCTCAAATCCCAAACAAAATTTGACCCACTTTTATACCCCTTTACTTGTATACCCGCAAATAATTGTACCCAGCTACTGTTCGTATATTAAATGCGTTTAAAGACCATTGATAATACAGAGCAGAGGTGCCACCTACACGTAAATGTAGCGAAATTGCATATACGCAGCGCCGGCTAACAAATGTTAATATAATGATTAAAATAATGTTAATATGAATGTAATAATTAAAATTATTTTGCAGACAATAAAGTTCTTTTTCGTGGGTAAGTTTTAGACTCAACAAAGCAAATTATACGTGAATCATATTAACATTATACCATGTCCACCGATTTTATTTCAACAGAATTTCTTAGTGAATATATATTTTTATCAAATAAACTTTTTAAAAATCGGATAAGTGGGTGTCGCATTGCTGTACTACAGTAGGTTACACATTGGTGACTGAAATGGATGGTGCTAAATTTGAATTCAATGATATAATATCATTGTATAAGAAAAACGATTCTGAGCGTCGATGATTTGTCAGTCTGGGATATTATATTATATTATATTAATTATATTGTTATTATTAATAATACGATAGCAGCCGTTAAGTTGAATTAAATGTTATAAATATTATATGCATTATTAGGTATAATATTTCAATATTTGTACTTAATAATATAGGTACTTGAGAAGTGTCAAGTCCCCACGAATATTATTTTAAATTACAACAATATAACTAAAATCATTATTCTCATTATTTAATATGTGATTTTGTGCAAATTTAAACTTAAAATAATAAACTGTATTTATATATTTTTAGATTTTTTTGATAAGTTATGTAAGGTTTATATATCAATTATTATAGTTTATTAAATCTTAATATTTTTTTATTCTCATATAGATTACACTTTTGAAGATGAAAATGGTATGTCTATTTAGATTATTATTATGACTTTCTCGAAGGTCCTATAATTTCACAAATGGCTATTTATTCTGGAATCAACACAAGTTAATTAATAGGTTACTTTAAATTAGATTAATTTTATAACGAAGTAAATATTTGTTTTTATAAAATTGTCTAACACTTTTACTGATACTTTTACACTTTTATTCAAATCTGCTTTCAAAAATTAATATCAGAACATTAAATTGGGCGTAGTGATTGAAGTCGTGAGCTATGTTTTCGACCAAAAATTAATCACGCTCTAGCCCCCTTAATATGGGGCATGGAACACAATTCACAGCGACCCATAGTATGGATAATACATTATATAGTACCGTTTGATAACCTAAGTTACCGTCGACAAAAGCTCATGAGTTATGATAACATATAACATATATCAAGAGCGAAGAATAAAAATGTTCTATGTCCATTTTTTTCAAAAAATCGTTTTTTTTTGCATACTTTTGTTTTTTCTATTGTGCATCTTTTTATTCCAAAACTACTCAGTGAGAAACAGAAAATGAAAATGTTCTATGTCATGAAAAAATACTGAATCGTTATTATATTGTTTTAGTTCCATAGAACTTTTTTATTCTGATCATTTTACGTAAGTATGAAAATGTTCTGTCGTCACGTTATTCAATGTTGGTTAGTATTAAAAGGTTTTATCAATAATACACGTCGATGAAAAAATAAAAACAAAAATTACAATAATATCGTACAGTATTTTTCTAAAAGTATTTATTATATACCTAATATAGACTTAATATTATTATAGTTTGTGTTCGCGCCCACCAATAGGGGGCTACCCGAAGGACCACTCGATAACAACCGAGACGAGATTATTACTATTAGTGCTTTTTTTAAAAGGTGCCGACTAACAGTAATTAAGCAACCGAATATGCCTACGCCTTATTGTTTGCGGATAGGCAATTATAGTTGCACGACGACGATAAGGATGGGAATGACCTATTGTTGGAGTTAGGATGATGCAGTTTAATTATGGGGAGAGGTCTCTGTGATCGATTCTGGTATGGTGCAATGATCACAGAGCTCACAATATAAGGCCAGTACTTACAAACTAACTTAAATATTACGGAAGTCCGGAGACGGTGATACGCTGCCGAAGACGCCGCTCGGGAAGTTGACTCTCGACGACCTGGGCGGCCTCTCACACAACGTACGTTGCTGGCGGACTTACGCGGACCACTCGTTTATTATGATGATGATGATAATAAGAATAATATTAAATGACTTACGCATTCAGTTTTGGGTATGAGATCGTGTTTTATTGAGATTGTTGTATAACAGCGACACAAAGTATACTAATAAGAACAGTGAGCAACCAGGTGCACATTGCAGTAATAAATAAATTAAGAATAATAGATTTGGTGCTCACTGTTGTAGTGAATAATACATAATAATAAAAAGATTGCTTTAATAGCAGATAAAAAAACACAAGAGCGAGACACCTGTTAGAAGAAGATGATACACGACAACAACACAGCATACGATAATATAATAAAAACAAAAACAGGGGCGTTGGCCGTATAAAGTAAGCAGAGAAAAAAAGATATGATTACACACAATGATAATCATGCCCAAAGACAGAGGATAGACAATAATAATGGACAAAGAACATTGATAATTATAATGAATACAAAAAATAATAATAATACACATTTAAATAATGAGAGGTGTCGGTGGAGCCGAGAGATGATAAAGAAAAGGAACGGTCGTCGTCGCGGCACAACGATAACGATATCGTGTCGCTAATTACTAGGCGCGAACAGTTTGAATTTAAAAACTATTTACCTACTTTATTATCAATTTCAATTGCCACCAATTTGTATTTAATATTTTGTTTTAATGTCTTGTTAAGACGTGTTAACGATAATGTGATAGGTATTACTTATAAGTTATAGTATTAGCAGGATTATAAATAATAATGCATTGTCTCAATCTGCAATATAATTAAAATAATAAAATTAGGTAGGTAGGTACATTTTAGTTATTTAATTATTTATTCGCTCAAATTTTTAATATTTTTTTTTGATTAAACATTGAAATAATGTAAAAACAAATTTCCTTATAAATATTGATGTCGGTTACTCTGATAAGATTTAAAAATATTGTATGGAATTTAAAAAAAAAAAGTTTTACCTTTGTATATCATATCATTTAGTTTGAATAATGAAAAGATGCTGAGAACTTTTTTCTTCTTATATACTCTTTTTCCAGTTTTATGGTTTTTATAAAATGTGTGGATGTCTAATACTTAATACTCACAATCATTATCTGGTAATAATTGTATTAGTTTATTCATTAAAATTATGGTTATATTCATAAGAAAACCTGGAAAAAAGATATTGGAGAATGGGTATTTAAAGTTAAAAATCACTCTGTTGAACAATTGGATATTATGACATAGAACCTTTTCATTCTCAACCCGCAATATGGCTGTATAATAAATATATAACAACTTTATTAAGCGGACTGCCCACCATGCGGGTTGCCATAAGACCTATATTGTGTATAGGTAATAGGTATACACAAAACCACCTATGTCTACATAGGTAATTATTGGTATTAGCAAGGTATTGTACAATATTTACTTACAACAAAGCGGTGAGCCATCGTAAAATTATATTACCTACCTATCAGTCTTCAGGACATTAATTTCTACTTTTTTCCATGTGACTTTTTAACTTCATGTCATAATTCAATAAAAATAAGAACATTTAAAATGTTTTTATATTATACTAGCTGATCGTTGCCCATTAGATGTATCAACTCTATATGACTCAAACTTTGTTCGATTCGTTATTTAATATTCGTTGTATGGTGTTCAAAATTTATCTTAACTTTTCCGTTGGCTGGAATAAAATTTCTGATTCGCAGCTGTACATTATCAGGTAGGCATCTACCTGCGGTAGATCGTGGACCCCGTGCTGTTTGTATATACATAAGTGTATGATTTAACTTTTAAGTATCAAAGTTATACCAAGTTTGTAGTTTTTACTTAATTCCACCTACGGTAGGTTAATATAATCAATTTATACAAAATTCTATCCTAACCTAACCGTACTAAAATCTGATAAATAAAAAAAAAAACATATCCCTCTTGTGCGTACCCGGAGGCACGTCTGTCTCAGCAGTAGCATTTTTGTCGGAATCCGGGGCCATGCTGGACACCCCCTCATCCGATTTGTCACGGTTGACTGGTAACGAAAGTAGCAAGCCCGCTCCGTTGGACCTGATTTTTACACCAGATCCACCTACTACCAACGACTCCTGATGGTCCTGTCCCCCTGGAGTAGTAACAATATCTTTACTTTTGCTATTCATATTGTGGTTTTCGGTTTTCCTTCCGTCCATTTTACCTACTGGCAGGGATCCGTTTGCAAGTGTATGCAGGTGGATCGGGCCTGCCAGCCCCAACCAATCAAGGTCATGGCTGGCTCTAGGGTGGAACCTCTTGGCACGGACCAGTGATTGGCTCGTGAGCCCCCCACAACGGCAAGGTGGGTCCCGTCGGGGAGATAATGTTATTTATTTATTTGTAAATCCGCTGCATATACAAAAACAATTTTTTTTCTTTATACTTCTAAGTTTTGAAGAACGAAAGTTAATTAAAGTTCAATTAAATTTTATAAATATATAACATCCTAATAAAACAAAAAATGTTAAACTAATTGTTGAATATTCTAACTAAACGAGGTACACAGAATAATCATCAAGTAAAAAAGAATTTATATAAAATTAAAAATGTTCAAACTATTTAAATTTTCTTAAATCTAGTTAAAAATATTTACATAATTTTGGACCAAAATATTAATTGGACCCTGTTGACTAAATGTAGGGTTACATAAGACAGATCTGATGATTGATTTAATTTTACGCCTAGTATTATATAAATGATATACTGTCAATTATTATTTTACATTTGTACTCGGATTACACTTTGGATTTATATAATAGTTTTCTAATTAAATTACAAACATAATACCTATATTATACCCATTTAAGGTTTTGATCAAAAATAATACCTAAATATTTTAATTTAGTAACTTTTTCACATAAAAAAAACACTTATTTATAAATTTATAAATTATTAAAGCATCTGAAATTATGTACTTTGATATTTTTTAATCGAATTTATCACTTATTTATACTAAAAAACATATAATTAGATTTTTTAATATTCAGCTCTTAGAAAATGTTTATGTAACCAATTTTTTATATTATTAATAGGTATACATTGATTCACTAAGTAATACAATATTCATCAATTTTTATGTTCAATTTAAACTATAAATAACCTATCGTCAACAAAACAAATAATATCTTCTGAAATATTAGGATTAATAAGACTAATAATATTTTATGTAAATAAGAAATAACAAGACGACTTTTCCTAGATTTTCACAAGTTAGCATTACTTCAATTTTAACTACTAGTAATCTATTTGAAAAATAATATGAAATAAACACATCTTGAACAAAACCAACAATATCACATTAATATTTTAATATTTTTTTATGTAAAGTATTTTTTTAATCTAAATGCAAACCAATTACCTAGCTTATTATTGTCATTGTCAATATCTACTAGAATGAATAAAATTGGAAGCTAATAACAGTGCGAAATTTGTTGATTTATTTTTCCAAAATCCTAATTTGTTTGTAGAAAAAATTTATGTATTTTCAAAAAATCAATCAAACGTTGTTCTATTCGTTTTTTAAATATTTTGGATTATGGAAAGAGATAGAGATATAGAGATATAGCCATATAGGTCTATAATTTGTAAATGATCAATATCGCCGGATTTAAGAAATTTGTTATTAGTCTTACCTACTACTTCCTGAATATTCGACAGTTTTCTGATATATGAACTCCATCTTAACGTGATCGCTTTCGGTTATAGATTATTTTGGAGATACTATATATAAATTGACGCGAATTTCCCAAAAGAAAAAATATTAAATATAGTGCACACTGTTTTTTTTAGCTAAATTAATAATTAAATGTGTTTATTATTCAGCGTCGATATACCGACCTGCTAGTATCCGTGGTTATCTCGTTTGAATGTTTATTTATTTTCAGCCGTAACAATCAGTTACGTACCTTTTCGTATTTTTATTATTATATTATTTTTACTCAGATTTAAGCTTATAACAATTAATATCGCAGTATTTTAACTTCACTCAATTATCTGTGATTCACTTTGACTGCATTTTTATGCATTTTCGTTATATTATACTATATGTTATTAATTATTACGTGAATATATATGTATAACATTATAATGTTTTATCATTTGCGTTGTACAATAGTTTAGGGTATAATAACTAATAAGCATATAAATTATGTTTCAGTTTTTTTGTACCTCAGTGATTCGAGTAAATATGTCACCCATTGACAACACTCCAATGTAATCTTCGCAGCATAATATATCATAATAAATCAATATCCATAGTGTTTCCCATAGACTTTAGTATATTCGTAGGTGATGATTTTAAGTAATTTTAAGTATGTTTTAGAAACATTATTGATTAAAAAACATTCTTGATTTCTGGTGGATTTGGTATGAATTTGAAAATTTAATCGTTCCAGTAAATAAGGAATATAGGGTTATATTATAATCAGGGGCCAATTTTTTGTTGTCATTAATGACAATTTAATCAGAAATAACAAGTAGGTAAAACAGATTTTGAAGAAATTATCACTTTATTTTGAAATCTCCAATCTAGGAGCAAGTTTAAAACTTATAAATGTATCTAGACTGTTTTTATTAGGTAGGTAATTAAATAACAACAGAAAATATGCAATAGATGCCTATATTAAACAAAAAAATAAAATATATATTTTTTTAATTTTCTATTTTATTTTTATAGTTGGTAAGTAGGCATAGTACCTAGTATATAGTATTATCATGACTACTAAATTATTTCAAGAATTCAATATACTTATGTACAGTAAAAAAAATAGTATAAGCTTATTACCTACTAATACAGAAATCTCTGTGTTAATTTTTATTTTACTTATATCTACTTTTTTTTTTTTAAAACTTTAATTTGTTTATTTAACATTGTTTTTCCTAACGATTTAACTAAGAGTTAACTAATGGATGACAATATAAAATATTGGAACAAATGCAGTTTAGTTTCTAAGTGATTTTTTTTTTTAAATTTGAGTTTTTACATCCTTAACATAAGTATTATCGAACACAACTTATTTTTAACCCAGTAGGGAGGAAAATCGGCACAATATTCACTTACCTTTGAGATTGATAGATTTCACGATTTTTCTGATCACCGTTCCCCATAGTCAATTTTGCGTTTACGCTTGCAGTCCATTCCGTAGGCGTGATATTGCAAAATGTACAATAATTGTATATATTAAGATATTATATCGACGTAAAGTTACAAGAATATATTTGGAATTTCAAACAAATTTAAACTTAATTAATAATGTTATACATTTTGTGTATTTTTCCGTCGAAACCAAACAGTCAGCGATATCTCCATGGTTACATGTATGAACGTTTTGTTTCATTTTCAAAAACCGATTTTTAATAACAAAAATAATTATATACAAATTAAACTATATATAGCTATTATATATGTTAAATGTATAATGTATAATAATACATTTAACAATTAGAACTAAATAAGAATACATATGTTTAAAAAACAATTAGATTGGTAATTAACTAAAAAGTATTAATAATTATAAAATATTTGTAACTACAATATAAAACAAATTAAAATAAATGTAAATAATATATAAACATGAATACTTATTGAATAATACAAATAAACTAATACAGAAAGTAAAGTAAGTATAATGAAAACAAATAGGTATTTAAATAAAAACAAATCGATTATGCTCTAGCCCCTAAGTTCTGAAGAAATTTGTTTATGTAAGGTGAATATGACTGTCATACTTTGTATGAATATAAAAAAAAAGGTTTGTAAAAATAGCTACACTAACTCTCGGATTTGGGCAGATATTCAACATTGAAAACATGGTACATTTCGAAACATACATAAAATATTTTTAAAATTGTAAGGCTATAATATTTGACTGCATTAAAAAATATCAAAATTTGTTTCGGATCAAATAATGTAGCAACTAAAAACAACCAACATGGCTTGATAGGACTATAGATTATATAAGAATGGATAGGTCATTCCTATTTCAACAAAATAAGGAGTCGTGGTCCAGAATATGGATGAGAGAGAGACGGCTTTTATATAGTGCTATTTTTCCATTAAGGAGTTTTAAGTTCTGGTGGCCTATTTATTCATAAAATATTATCTATAGATGGGATCCCCTTTCTGCGCCATTTACTTTGAAAAAACTTCTATATGCAATATTGTTTCAATAGTTTCATGATTGGATTTTGGGAATCATTGGATCCATATTTTACATAGTATTTCTCGTCTTATTTAAATTTTCTTGATTAAGAAATAATTACCAGATATTTTGAATCTGAATATACAGTAATTCAAAAAATGATTAGAACTGATCTGAATTGTATATAATCTTATTTATAAAATGTCAACTACAGTGAATAATACTGGTACTATATAGTACTTGCTGAATAGGCAAGGCTGGGCACTAACTAGTTACTTTTAATTCATATTAACTTTGTAACTTAACTAGCTGAATTTAATGTGTAAAATAATCTAATCTAATTCGTTAAAAGTAATAAGTAACTATTTATTTTTGTAGTTTTTTTCTTAATTTATTGAATTTTTTTATTTCTTATTTTGTTAAGCTTTCTATATTCTAATGACTGATATTTCAATGTACCTAATATTAATATGTTAAATTGTATGTAAAAATTTGAAATCAATTCTTCTTGGTTTTTAAGTGAATAATTATAGTTATAGATACTTGGATTTTCATTTTATAATATGACTTACGCTATAAGGGAATATATTTTAAATTATTCGTGTTTTTTTTCAGGACCACCCAAAACTATAGAACTGTAGATGGTCATTATTTTATGCTATTGATTATTTAGTTTGAACTATACTGTCATGAGTAGTATATATGTACCAGTCCTGGCGCACCTCATAATATATCAGTAAAAGATCACAAAGAAAACAATGTGCAAAAAGATCAGAAAATTGAAATGCAATAATAATAAAAAAAATTTTTCGCAAAACTTATGAAATGCAATAATAATAAAAACAATGTGCAAAAAGATCAGAAAATTGAAATGCAATAATAATAAAAAAAATTTTTCGCAAAACTTATGAAATGCAATAATAATTAAAATATTTTCCGCAAAACTTAATTATTAAAAATAAAAATTGAAATGCAATAATAATAAAAATATTTTCCGCAAAACTTAATTATTAAAA